GGCACGAGCAATCCCCAGTAACCGACTTAGAGCTTTTCCCACCCGAGCTCTATCATCAACCTCTGGAATGATAAGCACATCAGTGGAACAAGTCGAACCGAATCCTCCCAACTTCATAACACAGTGCAACGGCCTCGAAGACGGATGCTCTAACTCGGAAGAGGGAGGGGTGACTTGAGAATCAAGCCCATGGATCTCCTCCTCCAAGATATCATCAACGTCTCGCTTGAGCTCATCGTCTTCTTCTTCGGCCTCACACATTTGATTCATCATACGGGCTTGAGTATCAAGCATAAAGTGGGGGTCATCGACTTGGGCCTCAATTGAGTCGATATGTGCTGTAAGAATCTCCATTTGTGCGCTCAGTCGAGCACATCCGAGCTCAATCTCCACATCTTGAGTGGTCTGAGCAGATATGCGAGTAAGATGAGGTCGAGCCTTTTCATCGTATGTTAAAGCAGCCTCCCGAGGTTCATTCTTATGTGTAGACTCGCCTTGAGTGCAACACCCCGCTACTTAGGGCCAATTTTTCGCAATTATTTTTTTCGAAAACGCTTATAAATTTTTCGAAATCATTTGCAAACTATCCCGGGATGCTGCTAAAAACTTATCTGCTTTAAAATACGTTCTCTTTTAAACTGGGGCTAACGACTGGTTTAGACTTTAAAGAAAAACAAATTTAAACCTTTTATCGAAACATGCATGTGAAATTTGACCCGTTCGTTCTGGCAAACTCGGTAAAATATTTAAGTTTGGAAAATACTACCATGCTTGTTCAAATGGAAAATAAACGCAGCGGAAGTCTTAAAATGCGTGGGATAATAGTTATACAGACGTAATAAAACAAATGTCCAAGAATCGGCTAGTTGTGCCAAATCCACGACCACAACCACTACAGCTGAACTCACGCCTGCCCGCCGACCCTGTAATCTGAAAAACATAACGGGGGTGAGTACTGGTCCTCTTGTACTCCATAATACCCATACTAGAGTAAACATCAATAATAATAACGATATCATGATCACAAGTATATATATCTTAAACTCCCGGAACACTCTGGCCGGTAACTGAAACTTAATCTTCCGGAACTCTCTGGCCGGTACCGTGTGCACACTTTGATGGCTTATTAAGGCAACTGGCTTCCACCAGAACTTAGGATGGCTTATTAAGGTAGCTGACCTCCACTCTAAGCGGATAAACTTTCATTCCTCGGTTGGGGCCAACTCGGCCTCCACCCTAGGCAGCTTATATACATACCTTGGACATGATATCAGCTATTAAACTCAATGTAATACCCAGGCTAGGTCCCTACCTGATCTGCTTTGAAAATATGTAAGTGCTGTTGTGCTGGTAGCTGACTCCTCAAGCTACATGAAAATATAAGCAAACAAAATATACTAAGTACTATGCTCGCCATATGCTCAATAATATGCTAAGATGCTCTACTCTATCAGATAACTTATCCGGATATAAAGGAACGCTCTAAGGGTTCGCTAAATAAAACTAAGTACGGAAATCTAGACTGATATGCTTACCTGAACTGGTTTGGCTCGGAAAAATACTTAAATTTCAGAATAAGACTCGGACCGAAAATCACGAACCAAAACTGACTCGAATCGACTGGTTCACTGGATGGCCGGACCGTCGGCTCGCTGCGGGCCGGGCGGTCGGGTGCTCACTCGGACTGACTGGCATTTGTCCCGCGCCGGGCCTGCTGGGCCCTTGGCGCGGCGCTGGCACGACTAGGGTGCGACCGGGTGCGGTCCTAGGCGCTTCTGGGCAAGGTCCAACGCTACTGGGCGCGGCCAGAGGCTGCTGGCACGAGCACGGGCACTACTGGTGCCACTCGGGTGCGACTGGACACTACCGAGGCTGACTAAGGCGCTGGCGTGCTTCTGGGCACGGCTGGACTCGGGTCTGGCACTACTGGGTGTAGACAAACACGGCTAGGTACTTCCCGCGCTGGGGCTGCTAGGGCGCTGTCGGGCGACCCTGAGGCTGACTGGGCACGCAGGCGTACTGCTGGGCACGGTACTGAACACTCGGCATGCTGCTGGGCATGAGCCGAGGCCTACTCCACGTGGCACGAGCGGCTGGCAGGAGACCATGCGTGCACTGACACAGAGACAACGCTGTCGGGCACTGTCGGAGGTTGCTGGGCGCGACTGGCACCGAGACCTCACACGCGGACACGGACAGGCGCTGCTGGGCGCTGTCACGTGCACTGGGGCTGCGTGATGCGGATGTGGCGAGGCAACTCAAAAATTCTTCGAGCTGCGCCTACCACGCACGCAAGAGGCTAGCGCGACGCACAGGCGAGACGTGGACCATCGAGGGTGATGTATGCGGGGCGCGCGAAGTTGGCAAGCAGGAACCGATGGGTGATGGCACGCGATTGACGCGCGAGTGGGGTGCGGACGCGACGAGGGACGCGGCAGGTGATGAGGACGCGGCGGGTGCCAGGGACGCGCACGAAGAAGCCGCGGGGGACGCGGGCGCGCGCAATGCGCGTGGTGCAGAAGCACGCGCGGGAACAGGCGGCGCGACCTTAGTCCTCGAGGACTAAGGCAAGACGCGCGTGGGCGGTGGGGATCCGAGGCGGCGTGAAGAGGCTGCTAGGGTTCTCTACTTAGAGTGCAAGTCAAGATCACCAAGGATTCTTTAGATATTTAGTTTCCTTCTTTTCATAAGATTTCTAGATTGTTTAGGATACTTAATATTTTATTGCTTTATTAGAGTTATAGCTAGATTCGGACTAGATCTATTTGATGCCTATATAAAGGCCCTTCCTCTTGTTTTTTTTGGGGGATCATTGAGAATCATAATAAAAAACTGAACTTTTGTTCAAACACTTTGCCTTAGATTACTTCTTGATTTCTTTTGAAATTTTATTCGTTTCGAGGGGCGCGGGTGTGTGAACCTTCGAGACACCTATCATCGGTTCAAGGCATGAGTGTGTGGCTTATCTGCAATCCGGACACGCGATCTTCATCATCGGTGCTTTCATTGAGAGTATCTAGATCGTGTGTCTTTTCCTTTCCCATCTTTTCATTTTCGCTCGAACCAAAAAAAAAATCTTCAAAACGAGTCCTCGAAGCAAGGAGCGAAAGTAAGAAAAGAAAGTCATGGCCAACAAGGAGATGAAGAACAAGATCGATTACCCAGATGTTCAAGTCCGAAGCATGAGCAAAGCCATGGATACTCTAGGCGAGGGGCTCGACACAACCACGGCAACGGTTCGTGATTTGATGGAGAGCATGAACCAAAGGTTCGATGAGATGGCCCGCAATTTCCAATACCATGCGCGACCACCGCCGCGACAACCGAGGCGCGAGCAGGCCGAGGAGGAAGAACGGCAGCGCGACGAGCACGAGCAAGAGGAGGACTTCGAGCAGCGGTCACAAGCGTCCAATATCCACGATCGCCCAAGGCTCGACAAACCAAGGCTCACGTTGTCCACCTTCACCGGCACCAACCCCGAGGCATGGCTCAACCGGGCCATGCAATATTTTGAGCTCAACGAAACCGAGGATAATGATCGTGTGCGATATACGGCATATTACCTAGACGGCGAGGCCAACGTGTGGTGGCAATGGCTCATGAGTGTTTACCGCAACCGGTAGCGAGTCATCAGGTGGGGCGACTTCGAACGCGAGTTACTCATGCGTTTCAGGACATCCGACTACCACAACTATGACGACGCACTCTCGCGCATACGTTAGTCAGGCAGCTTGTGCGACTACCTAAAGGAGTTCGAGAGATTAGCGTGTCGCGTACGGGGCTGGCCTGAGACCGCACTGGCCGGGGCATTCATTGGCGGCCTAAAATTCAAATTAGCCGCGGAAGTTCGTTTGGAGCGGCCTGAGTCAATGCATGCGGCCATGGAGGTTGCTCGACGCCGAGACGACCACCTCGGCGCCACTCGAAGGGGACGGGCAGACGCGCGTTTTCCTGAGCCGCGATGCGCAAGCAACACCATACCGAGCATCCGGCCACCGAACAACGCTCGACCACCAATCTCGGAAGTCAAGCGATTGTCGCTCCAGGAAATGAGGCACTGACGTGAGAAAGGGCTTTGTTTCAAGTGCGAAGAGAAGTTCACACCGGGCCATCGATGTAAGCAGGTGTTTTTGATCAACGTCATCGACTCAGATGTGGAGGAGCCCGAAAATGAAGAGACCGAAGTTGAGGTTGAGGTGCTCGAGGAAGAAGCCGAGATCTCAATGTACACAATGGCTGGTACTCGAGGGCCGAGAACAATGCGACTACAGGCATGGGTCAAGGATCGTCGAGTGGTCGTACTCGTGGACAATGGGTCGTCACAGAACTTCATCAACGCTACGCTATCCCAAAAGTTGAAGTTGCCAACGACGACGATAGAGCCATTTGAGGTTCAGGTAGCCAACGGCGAACGGTTAAGGTGCACCGAGTCTTATCGCGGGGTACCGATCAAATTCTAAGGAGTCACCATCAAGGCTAATCTCTATGCGCTACCCTTGGTTGGACCCGACATTGTGTTGGGAGTCCAATGGCTCGAAGGATTGGGAGAAGTAACCACTAATTACCGGACCGGGGTCATGAAGTTCAAATCGGGAGAGCAGTGAGTCACGTTGAGGGCTAGTGAGAATGAAGGGACCAAAGAGGTTGGTCTCAAAAGCATTGAGCGGGTTTGGCGCGGGGGCGTCCAAATGTTTGCCGTTGTGGTTGAAAACACGAGCGCACGTATAGCCGAGGCCGAGCAGCAGCAGGATGAGGTACGCGGGTTACTCGAGGAATTCGAATGAAACACACAATAAACTATAAAACAACCTAAGAACAAAGGAATAGATCTAATATGGGGGAAAAAGAAAGACAAAATAATCATGAAAAACGTAACAAAAATGAGACAAACACCAACTTCTTTTCCTCATCCCATAAATTGCTCTTTGACCTCTACTACTCTCAGCCAGGTCTAGACCAGTCCATTTATCTTGCATTAAACTGGAGTAAACAAAAGAGACTGAGAGGGGTTTTCCTTTGCTAGCTCCATCCCACACAAGTTTGTCCACTCCATTAGGATCAAGATCCTTTATTTGAAGAATTGCTGCAATTTCCAAAGGAGAAAAAATAGAGTGAAGAGTGTCTGTGTTCCATTTCCTTCCAGTCTCATCAATGAGTTCACTCACCCAAGTTAGGCTGCTCTGAACTTGTCTATTGGTGACCTTGGGAATGGTAGGGATCCATGGTTGATTCCAAATATGGATTTCCCTGCCATGTCTGATGTCAAACCTCAACCCACCATGCTGAGGATTCTTCACAATGGAGTCCCTCACATCAAGCCAGCTATTCCATAGACATGAGTTGTTCTGTTTCTTAGTGATGGAAAAAAAGCTCTCTTTGGAAGTATCTTGCCTTCAGAACTTTACTGACCAAGAGGTTGGGCTTTGATATCATCCTCCAGATTTGCTTGGTGATGAGAGCCTTGTTCATGAGGTGAATGTCTTTAAAGCCCAATCCCCCTTGTTCCTTAGGTAAGGTGATAATACTCCAAGATTTCCAGTGAATGGCTTTTTTTTGTTGTCCATTACTCCACCAGAACTCAACAACTGCTTTGTCAATGCTTGCCTTAGTGGCCTTAGGAATGAGGAAGCATGACATTGTATAGATTGGCAGGGCATTCAACACTGAGTTGATTAAGACTTCTTTACTTGCAGGAGACAAGAAATTGGTTTCCAGTTCAAAATTTTATTTTTAACAGAATTCTCCACATAGGCAAAAGTATCAATCTTGGATTTTCCCAAACCCAGGGGCAGGCCCAAATATTTTGAGGAAGAGTGCACTGAAATGCCATTAAGGGTGCTACAAATTTGGTTCTGAATGTGGGGTAGGGTACTTTTGCTGAATAAAATAGAGAATTTTGAGAGGTTAACAAGTTGACCAGTGAAAAGGAAGTATTTCTTGAGAATATCAAGCAACAGGAGAGCTTGGTCATTTGAGGCTTGAGAGAATAGTAGGGTATCATCTGCAAAAAGGATGTGGGTAAGGTTGGGGCCATACATGCTGATCTTCAGGCCTTTCCAGTTTCCATTACAAACCTCAGCTTTAATCAGACTAGAAAAAATTTTTGATATCAAAATGAACAGATAGGGGGACAGTGGGTCCCCCTGTCTAATACGCCTGTTAGCTTTAACAAACCCTTTGGGAGCCCCATTGATGTTAAAAGAGAAACAAGGAGAAGATATACAAGCCATAATCCAATTGATAAAAGAAGAATAAAAACCTAATTTACAAAGGATTTGACTAATACAAGGCCATTCCACTCTATAAAAAGCTTTAGACATGTCTAATTTAATAGCCATATAAAAAGAATCGCCAGATCTATGTCTATTGAGAAAATGCAAAGATTCATGAGCAATAATAATATTATCCAGGATTTGCCTTTCTGGGATGAAGGCTGATTGGCTTTCACTGATACAAAGTGGCAGCCATTTTTTTAGTCTACTAGCAAGAATTTTAAAAATGGTCGTATATAAGACACTACAAAGACTAATAGGTCTATAATGAGAAACAAATTCAGGATTTTGGATTTTTGGAATTAAAGTGACAAGAGTATGATTTAGGCTGTTAAGGATTCTGCCAAATTCAAAAAAGCTAGAGACAGAATTACAAAAGTCAGATTTAATAATATCCCAGAAGCTATGGAAAAAGGTAGAAGTCATACCATCGAGGCCAGGGGCTTTGTTGTTATCAATGCTGAAGAGAGATTCTTTGATTTCACTCTCATCCACTTGGGTTAATATCTCAATGTTCATGTCTTCAGTAATAATAGGTTGGATGTTATTCAGCAAATTAGTGCCTCCTGTGGAACCCTCAGAGGTAAACATGTGAGAATAGAAATCTTCAATGCAGCCAGTGATCTCTTTAGAAGTTGTGCAGGGTGTCCCATCTTCTTTCAGAATCTTGGTGATATTGTTGATTTTCCTTCTTTGGGCTATATGAGCATGGAAGTACTTGGAGTTCTTATCACCATTTTGGAGCCAATTAATTCTAGATCTCTGCCTCCAATACTGTTCCTTTTGGGAATTTTCCATATTCATTTCTTTCTTGCATTCTTCCCACAAAAGCCAGTCTCGGTTATCACCAAGAGCTCTTTGCTGTTCTAGGACTTTATTGAGATGCTGAACTTTCTTCTTTCTATCAGAGTTGAAGTCTTTGCTCCACTTCAGGAGTTCTATTCTAGTGTTCTTGATTTTGGATTGGAGATTGAACATAGGTGTACCTTCTGTGGATTGAGACCAAGCTGCAGCAACAACATCATGAATTCCAGGTTAGGAGAGCCACCTCTTGTCAAAGAGAAACCTTTTTTGGGAAGATTTTGAGCTGGCTGAGGTCTTAGAAGAAGAAGGCTGTAGTCTGAAGATGATCTGAAGATGTTGTACACCTGAGCTGAGGCATAAAAGGCTGACCACTCCATAGAGACAAATACCCTATCAAGTCTTTCTCCACATAGTCCTCCTCTGCTCTACAATTTTCCCAGGTGTATGGATGCCCCAAAAGCCCTAAGTCCTGACCACCCAGATTGTGAATGAATCCATTAAAATTTCTGAATGAGGAATCTGCTTTGTTTTTTCCACCCTTCTTATCTTCTGTAACTGTTATCTCGTTCCAATCCCCACCCACAAACAGCTGCCCCAATTCTGTTTCTCATGGAGAATAAAGTCTCTCTGCTCAACTCAGGTGGCATAGTCTATGCTGGCATAGATAAAAATACCCCAGCAAGAAGCTTGCAAAATAGGATCCCAGAAATTAACTTGGAAACAAAAAGAATTCTTGAGGATCTAAATGATCTTAATGGAAGAGTGCCGAAAAAGAAGGAGACTTCAACTCTTGCCATTGGGTTCAAAAGAAGACCAATTATCCCCTACTCCTATATTTCTACAAACAGTCTTGATAAAGCTTTTTTTTTTTTGTTTCAGAAAGAAAGGTTAAAATTGGGGTGTGAAGCCTCATACACTCCTTAAGTTGGGAGACTGCAGAGGGGCCACCCAACCCTCTACAGTTCCAAAATATAGTGCTCATTGATGGGGGTGGGGCCATTCTGGGCTAGCCTCCCTCACCACTGTCAAAGCAAGTTTTTGTTTTTTAGGGCAGTTAGAAATGGGAATGGAAGGATCAGGAGGGGAGAGGGGGTTTTGATCAGGTGTGGAGCTTATGGTTAGCTGTCTCTTACCTCTGGTGACTATTGGAGAGGTAGAAGGGATGATGAGAGAATTCTGAGTGGGTTTTGGATTTGGGTTTTCTTCTCCATTTTCTAGTTTTAGAAGAGGGAGGGGGGTTAGGAAGCAAATCAAAAGAGAGAGGGGTTATTTGAGAGGGATTATCTGTGGGACAAAGAGTTTCCACTACCATCAAGTGATCTTATTGAAAATTGGTTGGGGGAATGGAGTGGACAGAGGGTGATGAAGGAATGATAGGGGAAGAGTGGTTAGGTTGAGGAGATGAGGGTTTATGTAAGGGCTGCTGACCTGATTCAGAGATTAGGGATGAGGCTTTCTCTGGAGGTGCAGGTTTATAAGGGGAACTGGTACTGGGTTTGGGGGATCCAGAGTTGAAAGTATGAGTTGAATTATGATGGAGATGAGGGTAATCTTGAGCTCTCAACCATTCACCAAATAGCCCTTCTTTAATTGAGGCATTGATGATATCTGATGATCTTATTTCACAATTTCTGTCTTGGTGGCCTAAGTAGCCACAGTAGAAACAAAGACTGACTAATTTCTCATACTTAAATTCCACCAGGATCTTTCTATTCGGCAGCATTAGTGATGCACACCTTAATAATGGTTGATTCAAATCAATAGTAACTAACAGCCTGATGCATTTACCTGCTAGCCAACCAATTTGAGGGATAGTAACGTTTTCACTTGATTGAAAGCACTTCCAACTTTAGACCCCACTTTTGTAGAACACCAATCAAGGTGTAGGTTCCATACTTGAACCCACAGGTCAAGCTCTGAAAAAATTTATGTTCTGCGTGAAGATCCTCCTGCCAATCCCTGAGAATCAAGAATTGATTTTCGAATGTCCATCCTGTGCCCTTGCTCACTTTAACTTTGTCCTCCCTATTGTCAAAAACAAATTGGAAATAATTGGAGCTGATTTCATGAATAGTGACTGGGGACTTAAGCTGCCATATTATCCCAATAGCCCTTCGTAGCCCCGGAAGTTGAGCTTTCTTTTGCCCATGGATTTTCCCAAAGAGACTTCCTTTACAGACCTCTGCGCTGATATGAGTGTCTGATACATCTATGGCAATAGAGTTAGCTTCTTTCTCTAAGAGTTGAAAGGATGTAAGTTTGTGAACAACTTCGTCCTCCATTGTTCCACCACTGAGATATTAACGCCAATGAACCAGAGAGAAATTGCGAATCCTCAGCACCATGAAACAGAAACCCTAGAAATCAAAAGGATTATAAAAGAGAAAAACAAGAACGGAGAAGGAAAGAGAGGAAGATAATCCCAGAGAGAAAACTCTCTACTGAAAGACGACCATCAAAAGAGACACTTTATCAACTCCGGCAAGGTGGGTAATCGGGGCTCCCATTGCGAGAGGAATTAGGATAGTTAGCGGGCGTAGTGTGTAATCGGGGCTCCCAGATGTTGAGTGTTAGATTTATACTTTCTAACTCAGATGACAACAGTACCAATATTAAATGTACTTAAAAAATTAGTGTATCATTTTTGTCAAAATAAAAAAAGGAACATATGGGGTGAGAGAAGATAATTTATCAATTTTATCACATCCTCTTTTCCACAGCCTCCACACACACACCAACGCCTAAACTAGGTGAGACTCTCCCCTCCATCTTCTTCCTCTCTCAATGGCGGCCGCCGGCGCCCCCAATTAAGAAAAAAGAATCATTTTTTCTCTCATTTTCCTTACCAGAAAAATGCAATCTCTCTTTATTTTGGCCATACATAGCAGTCGTTTGGAGGATCTGCGCTGTCCATGGACGTGCCAAAGAAAGGCCGGGCTTTCGAGCCACTCGATGAGGCCTTTTGGATCCTATTTGATTTTATTTTCTGCTCTTCGTTTATTTTGTGAAAAAACTTTGAACAGTTTTAGAAACCATATACGATTTGTTTGCATTTAGATCTGCGGGTTTGCTGGATAGTAGTGGGATTGAGATTTTATCCTCAAGACAAATACATATCTTTTGAACTCATATCCTAGATCCTTCAAATACGGAACACATCACTGTTTTTATATTGTCAGATACCTGTTATGCTGAAGATTTGAATTGTTCATCTGGTGATTGCAGGAAGCAAGTCAGTCCCGTTATTCCGCGAAGTCCGACTTTAAGTCACTAATAATAGAGTCGGTTAGTACAACCTTCTTATATGTTTTAATTTAGAAAATGTTCCTTACTCAACTATTGGATGCGTGAATTTTCTGCGTGAATTTTAATTTATGTATGATCTGCCACAATTTTCCGTGGATATGTATCAGGACATTGGTTGTGACAAGTGTAAGTTGATTAAACTATTTTGTCCATGAGTGATATCTGAACTCTTTTATGTTTGTTTTGTTATCACTAGATCTTCTTCGATCCCTAGTGGGAGTACAGATTTATAGAGAGAGACATGGGAAAGCAACCAGTGAGGATGAAGGCAGTGGTGTATGCTTTGTCTCCGTTCCAGCAGAAGGTGATGCCTGGACTCTTGAAAGATTTTACTGGAAAGATTGCGCACAAGATATCTGATAATTGGATTAGCACCACTCTCCTGCTTGGCCCTCTCGTTGGAACCTACTCGTAAGCTTTTGTTCCTAAATTGAACAAACCATACTGTGTGTTGGATCTTTTCTGTTGACAATTTGGAGAACTACCATTTACGAGTTTCTGATCGTTTAAGATTTCATCTTCGTATCATGTAATTATGCAATTATAGTTTGTAGTTGAATTAAAATAACAGTATGAGAGGTTGTGAGTGTGATTTATATAAAGCAACATAGTGGTATTGGGGATATAATTATTGAAATACTAAAGATTGGGCAGGATAGTGCTTGTTCTGCATGCTGTCGATGAAATTGTTGTTCCTATCACAATTATAATAATAATGTGAAATCAGGAGATATTAGGTTAAGAATTTCGCGTGTTCATTTGTTAGTTGGAGGTCGTTTAGGAAGATTTTTTGAATGAGACGATATAATAACATATGTAAACTTGTCTTAGATTCTGCGTGAAAATATTAATTGGTAATGTTGAAGGATGTTTGAATTTGTTTTGGGTTAATGTTGAAAATTTTGGGCCAATAGTTCATATATAGTATCTCTTATTTCAAGTTGAATTTTCTTATTTCATTTCCATTTCTTTTTCTTTGTGGTGACTATTTGCTCTTTAGTCTATATTTCATTTTTATAAATTTCCTTTGACATTTTCATTTTCAATCTCCAATTGCTGCAGAAGTACCCTAACTCGTTAGTAACAATTTAACACAGAAAAAGAATAAAAAAACAAAAGTGGCATTTTCAAGTTGTCTCATAGCTCAGTCTGCACTATCTAAATTGATGTTCGCCTCTAGTTGTGCCATTTATTTTTGGGGTGATACGTCCATGCTTGTTGCTCACCTGTGTCTCCATATTTTGATGTATGTACTAAAAACTTTTTTACATAGGAGCCATTAGTTTTCTCCCTGGTATTTCAACTCAATTTCTTTGACACGATTTGCTTTATAAGCTCTATAAATGTAGCACATTCTATAAACCTTGTAATCTGGATAAGCAATTTTAAGTTCAACATTCATGTGCTTGTAGGTATGTGCAGTGGTACCAGGAAAAGGAAAAGATGGAGCACAGATACTGAAGTTATTGCACCAATTCTCTCTCAGGAAAACTCTTAATTTTGAGTTTTGCTGTGAAATAATGTAATGCTGGTGGAGATCTTGTCTCTGAAATACTTAATTTTTGTGGTTTTATATCAGTTTACTGACATTTATAATCTAGTCATTAAAATAACACAGTATGCATCATTTGATTATTTGTAGATGTCAACAGTGGGTGACTTGTCCTTATGTTTTGATGCTTAATAAGACTTTGAATTTTTCGTGAAGTGGTGGCCATTTTGTTTTGACTCTTAACAAGACCAAACTTTCTTTGAAGTTGCCAAAAACTTAAAATGGGTCGCAGCGCATTTGCTTGAAGTTGTATGTGAAAGAAAAAAGTTGCAAAAATCGTGTTTGGTTGTGCTTGGGAGTTGGTTGTCTTGTGGCGTGGATGAGGTCGGAAGAATCAGCAAGATTTTTATGTAGACTAGATGTACAGAAATAAATTTAGGGTGCTTTCTCGTGCAGTTTTTTATTGAACTCGAATAATTCTGAAAGTGTTTTCATCATCTAAGTTGGCTAAATTAGTTTTTTGACCCGTTTTATTATCCCATTTTTGGTTCGTCTTTTGAAATGTCTATTTTTGGTTTTAGTAGGTGCAAAAAAATTAGAAACCAGTCTTGTGACCTACACCACCTGGTAATGGGGTTGAAATTTCATTTGAAATTTTTATTATTATTTTTTCTTTAACAAAAAATGGCACACTTAGGTGGCATTAGAGATGTAAAAATGGGCTACTTCTAGCGCGTTTCGGGTTAAACGGTCCGAACTTAAAAAGCTCAGATTTAAACGGGTTACCTAACCCTAACTTTATTGGGCCTCGGGCTGTAATATTACTATTAATAATAAAAATTGCAACAGTTGGTTAACAATTTTTTTCAACAGCTATTTAGTATTTACCGCTCTATATGCACAACTACATTTCATATATGAACACACATTACAGACTCTTAAATAACATTTTTTTAAAAAGAAAAAAATTGTTCGAACTATTACTTATAATTACCATTTTACTACTTATTTTGTACACTTTGAGAATTTTCTAATATTGTATCATACAGCTGAATCTATATTCTATCACTATATTCTATGTGTCAGGTCTTTGTTTCATGTGTTTCCTACTAGCCTTTCTGATTGGCTTAAATATTGTGGTGAAGTAGAATAACAAAATTGTTAATAATTATGTCTCATGTGTTTCCTACTAGCTGTTCTGATTGGCTTAAATATTTTGGTGTGAAATATAATAACAAAATTGTTAATTATTATCTTTCAAAATCATAGTAACCCATTACAGCTCATACTTACGTGTAGAATAGAATAACAAAATTGTAATATACAATAAATCTTAGGGCATATTTCTTACCTGCTGCAAACATTTGCACCGCCCAACCCAAGTTAAACGAGCTAGCCCTAGCGTTCTTCGAACTAAACGGTCTGGTGCTAAAAATCTCGAATTTTAACGCGCTACCCATGAAGGCCCTAACCTTTTTATTTTTTTAGCTAAACGGACCGGCTCGTCGAGTTAAGGACCGTTTAACATCTCTAGGTGACATAATAATAGAAAGGGTGTTGCTAAATACCGCACCTATTTTGCTAAATACCGCACCCCCAATTGACAAATTTGCCCTTTTTATTAAAAAAAAAAATAAAAAAAAAATTTATGGAATGTGTAAAAACGCACCCCCACCCCACCCCCTCTCTCATTGGACATTCAATACCATTTTCACACAAACTTCATCTTCCGCATAAAAAAATAAAAAAAATAAAAAAACTTTAAAAAGATCTACTATTCGTAATAAATCCGAAAAAATTCGAAAAAATGGCGGGACAATCCTCACGCACCGGGCAAGGGGTCTCCAACTCACAAGTAATTTTTTTTACGTTAATTACGAAATTTAAAAAAAAATGTTGCAAAACCGGCCGGTGGACAATTGCGGA